CACCCTCACCTGAAACAGAAGCTCCCAGAGGGAGAAGGGCAGAGCCACTCAAGAAAATTATGCAGGAAGCACCTCAGCTTTGACAGCAACAGCACAGTGTGTGGATAGCTCTGAATTGGCTGGACCCTGCCCAGCCCTGCTGCTGTGTGTTGAGGTTTCCCAACTCCAGCCCCCAGCAGCCCTGGCTCTGCTCTTCCTGTGTGCAGCACCACACTGGATGTCCTACAAGCCCAGCACAGTTAATCTGCCACCAGATTCATTGCTATATGGATACCCAAGAGCTGACCGTAATATAATAGCACTTGTATAAAACAGGATTTTATCACTTTTTCCTTTTTATAGTATGGGAGTGACATATTTGTTCCATTTCTCTTAGGTATAGGATACTTAGCCTGCTGCACTTGAATTTCTAATTCTTTCCCCATCCCTACCAATGAATCATAGGGTTTTTCACCTCTTGTTCCACTGACGCACAACGTGCAGCTGGGATCCTTCCTCATTTACGCTGTTTCATACTTCTTGAAGAAGTGCTGCCAATGCTACCAAGCCAACACACATGTCCCACACAGATGTTAGAGCTTTTAAGACCCAAAGAGAAAGTGGCTGAGAAAAATCTAGAGTGGGACATAGGAAGAGGGAATCTCTCTTCCCATCAGTCCTAAGGAGAATGACACCAAGCGGAGCAGTGTAAAATTAAAACCAAAGGCAACATGCAGGGAAAAAAGAAGGTACCTAGCATTTGACAGATGGATAGGACTGACAAATAGAAAGAACAGGCATGGTTAAAGTATAGAAAGTGTTTGAATAAATAATATTTATTCTAACACTTCATCATCAGCATATCAGCTAGACACTTTGTTGGTGGGAAGAAGAGAAAAATAAAATTTATCTTGCCATTTTTGCTTTACTAGGGAATATGTAACAGTTGGCAGTGTAATACACTTTTTATTTTCATGAGTTATGGATGTGCATGGCCATCCCTAAAAAATTGAAATAAAAACTGTATTACACCGCCAAGTCTCATATACTATATTTATACCATACCAGAGGAGGTGTCTGCAGAGCAACTATAGATATAAACTTTTATTATATCTATAGTTTCTCATGTTATTAGTATAGTTGTGAAAATAATAGGATTTACTGAAGGTTGTTATTCCCCCTAGCATCACTGATGTGGTATGAACAATATATTGACCTTTTGGACATTTCTGAACCATTGCAATGGTTTGAAAATGTGGTCACTTGACATGAACAGCCAGAGTCTTTGTCCCCAGTCTAAGACAATGGGCTCATGGTGTCTTTGTAAGTTAATATTCAGATTAGCCTCACAAAATACACCCTGGTACTACCAACGGTGCTTCCCTTTTGTCCTTCTCAGTGTGCAGGGAACGCTAACCAAACCTAGACCTCTAAATAATTGCAGAGAGGGCATGAAGGCCCCAGACTGCAGCAGACTGCAGGATGGGGTAGTGCTCCATAATTGTGCTTAGGTTCCTACAGCAGAATGACACAGAAATTTGCCACTGGAATAGGTAAAGCCCATAGACCTTGTTAAGCTACACGATTCCAGGTTTTCTAGGCGGTATTCACACTTCCTGACAGATTTCTCAGCTTCTCCCCACAGGCAAATCCCTTGACATGTGAGGATACCTTGGCTGCCCCCTTTTCCTCAGCCCTACTGATTCTAGCAAGAGAGCAGGCAGGAGCAAGCATCCATTCAGTCCTACCAGGGAGATCCTGTGGTGCCTGATGCTGTAAGGCCACGGCAAAGGATCCACACAGGAGGAGCCTCTGGCCACTGATCAGCCCTGCTGATGGGCACAAACAAAGATGTTAGGAAAAACCACGAAGAAAGGAAACTGCCACAGGTGTTCACTGTAATGCAGGCTTGATCTGATGTCCTGCACACACTGTGGAAATACAGCTGACTGCTCTGAAGCAAAGGAGAGCACCCCCATTGACAAGTTGTCTTTGCTTGCTGTAGGTGCACAAAGGTACTTGCCCAAATTTTTTGAGCTCGGAGGCACAGGAGAAGCCAGGAGCACCTGTTTACTGATGGGAAATGCCAATAGAAATGGGTCTGGAAGAGCAGCATATTTATAGGCTCACACAGCACCATATGGTGCTTGGTAGCAAAAATCATCAACTGAGACAGATGAGCAAACGTAAATTCCAGCTTAGACTTGATTTTCTTTTTTTTTCCTTTTTTTTTTTTTTTTAGCAATCATTTTATTTAATTTGCTCTCTTTGTCTCTGAGTGCTCAGTCTGACTTGGCTGTGTCTTGCCCCTTGCTTTCTGGAGAAGGCTGTAGGGGCATACAGCCTTAATTGTTTAAATAACTTTGTATCTATTGGAAGAAGGGGAAGGGGAGCCATGGAACAAAAGATATGCCTGGGGAAGATGGGCTGAGAAGCTGAAGTCAAAAGGACACATAGCTCAGGCCCTTAGGATTGGAAAAGCAGCCCTTAGAAATCTGAGGTCAGTCAGGCCAGAGGGAAAACTGATTTCTTTTTAATCAAGCTTAATCGTTTATATTAATACATGAATTTGCTCACAATGATTCAACTCAGCCTTTTAGCAGATCTCTGAAGAAAAATTTTGAAAACCACTTTTATTTTTTTTTTGGCAAGAGTATCTCTGAGCCTATATCTGTAAATTACCTTTGGGTTTATAAAGGGCTGCTGTGGTCCTTCGAAAATGCAGCAGTTTCCTTGCTATTAGTGCACATCCAGCTCAACCTGAAAGATTCTTGATTTCTGACCCTATTACAATATCCCTGTTTATCAGTTAAAAACCAGTGTAGCTCAGCTCCAGCTCTTCAGTATAAACCCTCCAAGCTCAATCTTCTCAGAAGTGACCATGGGGTAGCAACCATGGGGTACTGCCTTCTGTGCTGGATTGTACCATCCCTGGCTGGCACACCACGATGCAAGTATTTGATAACTCCTCCCTACAAAATGTCCTCTAAATATGCAGTCTGAGTAATCTTGCATCAATCTTTACCACCTTTCTTTGCACCTCAGCTCAAGAGATACAAGATGGAGGAAGAACTTGCATCTCCTGGTGGGACAGTACCTCTGGGTCAGGATAAAAGTGTCTGAGGGTGTCACTGCAATGATGCTTGCATTGATCCAGGGCTTCCTTGGTTAGCAAATGGCATCCTCCAGAATCCAGGGTGCTCAATCTGTCACACACCCCTCATGAGCCACATGCCTAAATGCAAAGGGCACACTTTTGTTCATCTGCTAAGGTAACTGATGGCTCACCAGGAGGCCCATGTAATGATTGTAGTTTTGCTGATTTATTAAGTGCCAATGGTGTTTTAATATTGTTTGTGTTTCAGAAATAAAGATAGTCATTGCCCTGAAGGCTTACAGTCTGAAAGACAGATACACACAATACACAACTCCCTATGGATACTTGGAAGAAAGATTTTTTTTTATTAAGGAGCTATTCTGATTTAATTTGGTTCTTTAATGTGATATTGGAGCAGTGCAGGGTTGAGTGTCAGCCAGCTGAAAGCACTCCTCTGCTGGACTATAAAGACTACAAGACAAGTATCAGCATGCGGAGAGAGGGGACATGCAGCCCCTGTCTGACTCAATCAGAGCTTCAGGACATGAATTCCCAGTGATTTGTTCCTTGACCAGCAACCTCCATCAACCTGCTGCTTATCAGGGACTTTCATTCATTGCCCAAGCCAGGAAAGTTAAGCTACAGGGAATGTGCTAAACTAAAACTCGATGTTAAAGGACACGACAGAGAGGTGATGTGAATTTCTGCCTGTTGCACAGTGGAGTTGAAGCAGGCAGTCTATGTGGCATGAGTAGGCAGAAGGGCTTAAGGTTTTACAAGCCCCTCATGGATTATGAATTTGGCACCCACCTAGAGCTCTGTGTTTGGGATTGCCAGGGTGGATGAGGTCAGTGGAAATGGACCAATATTCACCCAGCCCCTGTGGCCCAGAGAGTGCTTACAGGCTGCCAGAGAGCAGTAATTCAGGAGGCAAAGGGGCACGGGTGGTACCTCCAAGAGGTTCTGCATCCAGGCACTCGTGCCTGTGCGTGCATCTGGATGCTTGCGCAGACATGAGCCTTTGCCAGCATAAAATGATTAGGAGACTCACAATTTTAAGGGCAGAAACTCCTGTGGTGTTGTGCAGTCTGCACTGATGAAAGGTGGATTCAGGTGGGTGTCCTTCCCCACCATTTCGGGAGGCTGACAAAATTGCCTTCTGTGGACCGTGCATGGCTTCCTCCACAGCCATGGCCAGAACAACTCTACCACTCATTTCCTGCAATTCCACTCAGGGCTCTGAACTCCCACACAGAGCAAGCTGCAGGGGGAAATGTTAGTCCTTATTCTTTCACTTAAATCAGTGCCAAAATCAATTTTGAAAAATCATCTCAAAGTTGCTTTCAACTCAATCTGGGTGTTTCTTTACTGCTAGAATATCACCCCATACACTGGAATCGTTATTACATCACACTAATCTAATTTAAATGCATTTTTACTGTACTTGGTTTAATGAATGTGGAATGTGTCACTATGAAATTGCACCATTAATTTGATAAATAGGACTTGAAGGTATAATTTTTTCCAGCATTGCAGACTAATGAAGCTAAAATACATATATAATAAGAAGTGTAAATAATAAATTATTCTTAGGAGCAAAAAAATTAATTAGATCTTACCACAAATTGCATCTCAATGTCAAAGTTTTTTTACACTACTGACTTTCAAACTAGTTGGAACATGACTGTGATCCTTGGAAAGTTTCTCAAGTAATTGCTGTCTGTACACATATTTGGGAATATACCTTAAGAAGCTACCTGAGTTCCTACTGGTCTCTCACATGCAGCTTTCTCATGCTCCCTGCCATCATACCTGAATTTTAACAGCATTTAGAACAATTCCTGTTATTATTTGTTCTAAATTTCAGATAAAATTGTCTTTATTCTTGAAGACTCAAGGAAATTTTTTTTTTTTTTTTTTTTAGATTTCAGACACTGAAGAGAGAGCAAAATTAGGACACACTGCATGCAAATTCTCTGCAGAGGTGCCCGTGCCCCCACTGCCAGCTCGCTGCCTCTGCTGCTGAAATCAATGGGAGTTTTTGCACTGACTTCAATAGGAGAAGAGACTACTGTACAAAGCACACTACTTTTCACCGGTAATGGAAATGTCACAGTGGTGCCATTCAGGAAGGAAACCAAGTGGAGGGAAATTAAAGAGGAAACTCCAGTCTTGTGCAGTTTAGTTGCTGATAGCTCATCTCGCTCAGCCTGCTGCACCCTCAGCCGGTTACACGGTGCTGCCTGGTTTAGCATTCTTTGTCTCTTTGTCATTTCTTACTGAGCCCACAAAGAAAGGTTTTATCTCACTCCTCTGGAAAAGAAAGCGCCTAGAGATTGAAGAGATCAGGTGGCATTTCACCTCTAGTTTTCTTCATTCCCAGCTGGAGAGCTTTGAATGCTCCGCACAGGCAACTATTCTCTGACTATTCTATAGCTAGATGAAGGACCAATGGCCAAAATGTCATCCTTAACCTTATTTTCTATTCCTTGTTTCTAGTTTAACAACCAACATTTTTACTTCCTGTTGTTTGATTTGCAGCCAAAATTCTGACGTGTTATCAGTTTTGTTGCCAGATAGCGCATTAAGCCTTACTAAGGGGTAAACATAATGATCTTCATTAAACCTTCTAAATGAACCCACCTCCTGCTTCTTCAGGTGGAGGAAGGCATTGACAAGGAACACTGCTGAACTGTCTTATAGCTATTTTCCCCTTGCAAGCAGAAGGAGGGAGAGATGAGTGGCAGCTTTAAAGAAGGAAAAAAGTTAGATAAACATGAGAGGGTTTGTGAGATTTCCTTTCTTAATGGCAAAGTTTTACAGCAATAAATCACAATTCAGTCCATGCCATTAGTTTTGGGGGCATTATATCCCCTCATTAAAGTGCATAAACAATTATATTTATTGAAGGTAATGTACTGTGTAGTGCATTATAACGACACTCATTAACATATGTAATCATCATTTGAATGGGCTTTACTACAATGTAAACTGATAATGGCATGATTACCCACTGGGTTATTAACTTTTCAGTCCTAAGATAATAAAAGGTGATACAAGAAACAAAAAGCATATGTGCATTGCCCTTCACATGTGATTTATGTGCTTCACTGTGGAGCTATGAACACAGGTACCCATCATTGGGGAGACTGGCTCTTTATTGCACATTGTATTTGACAGAATAATAAATGTAGCGGAATGGTTCTTGGGTGGGCATCTGGGGAAAAAAAGTCCCGAGAATAAGGCGGGCAATACTTCAAACTGCAAGACCCAGCAAAGGAAATAATTTTGTCTGTCTCTCTGTCTCTCACTAGCACAGTGTGGCTTACAGATCTTCATATGCTCTGTCAGACTCACACAGATTAGGGGGAAAAAAAAAATCCATCTTCTTTATATGTTTCTCCTCCTTCTTCTTTAGCCCACCATGCGTTCCTCTCTGCCTGAGCTATAATTGCTGTTTATGAGAAAATGAAGGGATGCATTATGCTAAGGTACCTGTGTGCTAAGGTATTCATATTATGCTAAGTGTATGCTTGTATCAAACAGATGGTTTCAGGTATTGAAATGCAGCTTAGCTGCAGTATTCTGCAGAGTAGATTTATCAGTTTGCTGGAGCTTCTCTTCTATAAAATGCCTATTTCGAGGCATCAGAGGTATTATAAATACAGCTTATTTGTGTAATTTATCAGCCCTCTCCGGGGTTTGTCTCTGTGGAATCTTAGTGCCTTAATTTTAATGAATGAATCTGAGTTTGTTTTAGGAGGGGATGAGTTAAGAAATATTAAAATAAAAAAGGCTCACGAGCAGCCATTCAAAAAAGTACCAGTTACCAATAGACAGGGCTTCTCCAACATTAAATGGTATATATATACTAAAGTGAAAAATTATGTGTAAGTCTGCAGTACCTATGGTGAATGGAAATACATCAGCCATTGTGTGCTAGCAAGACCTGTTTCTCCACTAAACTTTGAGCTGCAGACAAGGGCAGATATATCAACAGGTGATAAAAATTTGCCCTGACACAGTGCCAATACAGAAGCATGTGGAGCCAGAAACTGCAGAGTTCCCAAGTGGCAGAGGAACAGTCCAACAGGTCCGAGACAAACTCTTCACTGCTTATAGCATAGAGTGTGTGACAAGGACAAGAACAGTGGTGACCAGAGCATGTCTGGGCCCAGCTGCTTTATCCACCTTCAGGACCATGTGTGACAAGATGCACAACCTTGCAACTGTGCTGGTCAAAGTTAGCTGCCAAACAGACCTAACCATGGAGGGGTAACATTAAAAACCCCCATGCCCAGAAAAAAACCCAAACAATCCGGCCAGAGCCTTGAGTTTGATGGCAGATACCACCAAGAAACACCACTGAAGAAGAGTTAATGTTGCCATTAAAATTCAGGTTAATCTCATAGTCATCTCTTACTTTAGAAGTCCTTTGAAATGAAATTGTTTGGAACTTCTATTAGCTTGGCATTCCTTTAAGGAGTCCACTGTCAGTCCCTGGCCCTTGAAGAGGCTAAATATCTGCACTTTCAGCTCTCCATGGAATTCTAGAAAGCTCTGGGATGGTTTATGGTTTTCCATTAGCCAAGGGTCTAATAGAGACCTGAGATCCGTTAAGTGGGAAATTCTTCTCATGGAAAGCAATATACCGTAATTCTTTGCTAAAATCTGAGCTCACACAAGAAATCTGAGCTTGTGGTAAAGACCAGGGTGCAGTAAGTTTGTGCAGGAAATTACTTCATACTGTTTGTTATTGGACTATTTATCCACAACTTTTTAGACAACAGAGGCGATGGACTTGATTCGCTCTTGAACCAAATGGGGCAGATGCTCATTAGATGACTGGCCCTGTGGACAGGAGCTTTAAATCATGCCCTGGTATTGCAAACACCTCATTAGTGATTTGGAAACTGCTGAGGGGCTAAGGAGAATGAGAACACCCTTCTCTGCTCCGCTGACAGCATTTTTCCAGATCAGCTGTACTCATTTAGGAAGTCACCAAGGGCTGAGAACCTTGCACCACTCTGACCTCCCCCCCGGCTGGGGCAGACTTTCTGCCATGGTAGTGCCAGTAGCAGCATAAGTGAATCAAACCTATTGCTGTTTTTTGGCCATGATAACTTGACTTACTCTTATGATTGAACTGTTCCGACAGTGTATGAAAACTCACAGTGAAAAACACAAAATAAAAGCAACGTAGTATGTGAAAATACCTTGTACTACCTGAAAGCTCAAAGAGTCAGTGGTTGCTTTTGTTATTGCCAGTTCCAGCTGATAGCATCAATGCTTTTTCCCACAATCTTTCTTTGCTTATTTCCATCTGTTCAAATTTATGTTTTAGTTGGGAGAAGATTAGAGACAAAAATAGTTTTTTGGTAGCATTTACAACCTGGAAGTTTAAAGGTCTTTATGTCTTCTTCAAAGCATCATTCTGTATCGTGGATTTTTGGATACTTCACTATTCAATAGCTACTACATAAAAACAGTATGTGATTTAATAGAAAAAGCTTTAGAATGAGTAAAGTATGGAGAATTAGCATATGCCATCCAGAAGTTTGTCTGCTGTTAAGCCTTACAGTCCAGCCTGGCACTGCTGGAAAGTCAACTGGTTTCAAAGGTCTGACCCTCCCCAGGGCAGAGCACTCAGCCCCCCTGGAGAGGAGGAAATACTTGGCATTGCTCTGGAACAATTCCTGCTGTTTCCTATTCACAACAGCGCTGATAGCTCTGGGGACAGGGGAAGAAAATCACCCAGCAGCTACTGCAGAAGTTGTGCTGAGGTGTTCGGCATGGGTAGAGGGAATCAAGAGACACACCTATGGAAGCACTTGTGGCACCACCCAGATTTCAGAGCAGCACAAATACCACGTTTGCTTGGCTCACCAAAGTAAAGTGTGAGGAAGCATTTACTGATGAGAAGGAGGTGAAAAACCTGCCTCAGACTCCATCTGCTCTTTGCCCTCAGACTGTTTTGTAGTGCTTTGTCACAGGGAGCAGGCATTGAGGAACCTGAGGGTTGTGGTTAACCCAGGTAAGACTGGAAAATGAAGGAAGGGAGGACCTCATGATAGTTTTCACTCTAAGGAGATATTTTCTTTCCCCTCGTGCTATTGTTCCTCTTGTTTTCAAAGTCTCAACACAAATCTAGGAGCTCTGCATGAAAGGTACAGTAGGCTGGGTATAATTACCACAGCTGCCACAGATGGCTCATTTTAACAAGAGACCCTAGGTAAACCTAGTTGTTTAGCCTGCAGCATAAACAACAAAATATTCTACTTAAACAAGCGGATCTGGGTCTGTGGAGGTGAAGCTCAATTCTGCCTTACTAATCTCTGTCATTAAAGAAGTGCAAAAGATGTTGGTGGGACAGGGGCCAGCTCAGGGCTCAGTTTTGATGTTTACCTGTGTAATCTCCAAGGAGGAGGATGTCTGGGTGTTGGAATGCACTTTGCCTTTAACTGGGATCCCCTGAGCACTGCATTTGGAGTACAAGGCATCGTCCGTTTCCCGGGTGGGGAAGAATAGGAAAAGGAAGGGAAATCTTAAAACCTGTGAAATTTTCTAGTGTCATCTGCTTAGTCCCTCTAACAAATCTTGTTGCAGGACTGATACCCCAAAGACCACATCCTGTTGTACTCTACTAGTTGCCTACTGTCAGAATTGAGGTTAGAATGTTTTGTGGATGAGGAGCTAGAAAGACTCCTCCTGCTTGATAAAAAAGCAATACTCCAAATCAGGTCAAAGAAAGGGGTGTGCAGGAGACTCAGTAGAGAGGACATTAACACCTAAAACTGCTTTCCTCGTGGGAGAAAACAAGAGAGGAGAAATGATTTTTAGCCTTCTGTATCTGTTCACATTTGTGAAGTGGAGCTCCAAATCAATACACATATTCCTTCTGAAAACTCACAAATTGGTATCTGCAGGATACTTTATTCCTTTCAGCCCTCTATCTCCGCCTGCATCAGCAAACTCTCTTCACAGAGGTCCTGCTGGCACCAGCTCATTAGCACAGAGCTACTAATCTTCCTTTGCCAAAACCTTCCACTTCTCCTCTGCCTGTTCATAATGTCCTTAACCTTTCAGTCATGTAGACCCGTCTTGTAGTGACCATTTTTATTGTCTCCTCCAGAAACTGTTGCCTGTGACTACATGGCATTTCTAGGTACCATGCTTAGCCAAGTCCATGCTACTGACCACCACAACCTTTCCCCTCTGTCCTTCAGTGCTGCTGCTGCCACAGGTGCCTACCCCAACTCCATCCTTGTCATTTTACCTGCTGCTTTCCTAATGGATTATTAAAATACATTTTCTCAATGATCCACAAGCATAAAGATGAGCATTTCTGGCCTTAACACCAAGGTCCATAATCTCTTTCAAATGACTCACTTTTCCTACAGGACTGCAAATACCAACCTCTCAGGCATGTCTCAGCCTGTTCGTTCCACAAGCACCTCTACCATACAGCTCCCCATAGAAATAGATACCCCCATGCCATGTCCTCCTCTAGATCCCATCTTATGGCACGTATCCATTATGACAATGGTGTTAAGCTCACCTTCTGAAAACATGTAATGACAGCCTGAAAAGTTGTTGTACACAAGATGAGGAATAAGAGGTCTATGTTATAGCAATGAACATTTGAGCTCATGTTGAAGGCAAGGGAAGGGCATAGGTTAAAGGAAGGTGCCTCAGAAGGCTGAAAAATCTCCATCAGTAGGAATCATTAGGAACAAGATACATACATAGATGTATATTAGTGATAAAATAGTAGAAGGGAGCCTGCTGTAGGAGACAAGAGTGTACAGGATAACATCACAGGTCCCTTCCAATACCATGGCTTTATCATGTCTTTGAAATCCATGTGGTCATGTGTATGTTTATCTACCCCTCTCTTTTTCTGCCTACTCTTCCTTGAGCATGCTTTTTACCATTTCCTGTTCCTTGGCTTTCTTTCAATAACCTTACTACTTATTTCACCTTCCCCAAGAGGGGCCTTGGTCCCTCTTGAGACTTCTGGGCATTACTCTAACAGAACCACAAAGATGTAATAACATTAAAACTTTGATTCATTTCATATCCTAGGTTGTTGTGCTAGTGCTGCTCTGTGCCAAGGAAGAGGCTGTGTTCTTTCTTTTCTTTCTTTCTTTCTTTCTTTCTTTCTTTCTTTCTTTCTTTCTTTCTTTCTTTCTTTCTTTCTTTCTTTCTTTCTTTCTTTCTTTCTTTCTTTCTTTCTTTCTTTCTTTCTTTCTTTCTTTCTTTCTCTCTCTCTCTTTCTTTCTTTCTCTCTTTCTCTCTTTCTCTCTCTCTTTCTCTCTCTCTTTCTCTCTCTCTTTCTCTCTTTCTCTCTTTCTCTCTTTCTCTCTTTCTCTCTTTCTCTCTCTCTTTCTTTCTCTCTTTCTCTCTTTCTTTCTCTCTTTCTTTCTCTCTTTCTCTCTTTCTTTCTTTCTCTCTTTCTTTCTCTTTCTTTCTTTCTTTCTCTCTCTCTTTCTCTCTTTCTTTCTCTCTTTCTCTCTTTCTCTCTTTCTCTCTTTCTTTCTCTCTTTCTCTCTTTCTTTCTCTCTTTCTTTCTCTCTTTCTTTCTCTCTTTCTCTCTTTCTTTCTCTCTTTCTTTCTCTCTTTCTTTCTCTCTTTCTCTCTTTCTCTCTTTCTTTCTCTCTTTCTCTCTTTCTTTCTCTCTTTCTCTCTTTCTCTCTTTCTTTCTTTCTCTCTTTCTCTCTTTCTTTCTCTCTTTCTTTCTCTCTCTCTTTCTTTCTCTCTTTCTTTCTCTCTTTCTTTCTCTCTTTCTTTCTCTCTTTCTTTATCTCTTTCTCTCTTTCTCTCTTTCTCTTTTTCTCTCTTTCTCTCCCTCTCTCTCTCTTTCTCTCTTTCTCTCTTTCTCTCTTTCTCTCTTTCTCTCTTTTTCTCTTTCTCTCTTTCTTTCTCTCTCTCTCTCTCATTCTCTCTTTCTCTCTCTCTTTCTCCCTCTCTTTCTCCCTCTCTTTCTCTCTCTCTTTCTCCATCTCTTTCTCTCTTTCTTTCCCTTCCTTGGTGAAGGGATTCCTGCATACACAAATTTTGGAAAACTTTTGGGCAGTCCTTTGGGAAGAGCAGCACTTAATAAATGTAAATTATTGTTATTTCACCAACAGGAGTTGCAGAATCTTTAAGTGGTCTCTCTTTTTTAAGAAAATATCCAAGTGGGAAATTAGTGCAGTGTGGTCACACTGGGCCATGTGAAAATTAAATTCTATCAAAATGAACTGAAATGAGATTGATCACTGTATGCTAAGGCAGCACAGCCCTGCCATACCGTAGCTGTCAGCAGCAAGAGAGGAGAACTCCCTGACTTCAACTACTCCTGTTAACAGTAAAGGCAACAAAAAGCTCATTCAGCCCCATTCACTGGAGACCTCTTGAGAAATCAGCCACAGAGATCAGCTACAATCTGAGTAATTTCTTTGTGTCTTTCTTTATACAACTGTTTTCTGAACTTTGCATTGCTGACCCTCATGTGACATCCAAGGCTGGAGTCCAGTCTTTTTGCACAGAATTGAATGTCAGGAAGAAAAGCTATGGTGGTTTTAGATGTTCTCAGAGAGCTTCAGTGACCTGGACACCCTGAGAGTGTGGTTCCTCTGCAAGGAGCTCTGGCATAGCTTTTGGAAGAAGCCCTGGGCATGGCTTCCAAGGCTTTGGATCACAGGCAGCCCTCTGGACAAACCACTGCTCAGCCCAGGGATTGGTGGGCAAGAAAGTGGTCGGAGCACAGAGTCTGACACAGGTTCCTGCACCACTAGGGCTGTTAGGAGTGGGGTCTCCATGCTCTGTAGCATGGGGTGAGCATCAGACCTACTTGTGGTCCCTGAGAAAGAAAAATGCCATAGACCTGTTAGGGAGGTGAAGAATTGGGTGAGTTGAGGAGGCCTGAGTAAGGTCAGCTGTTGTACTGTAACACGTAAATGGGAAGCATGTAAAAGTATACTCAGCCTTCTCAAAGACACTGCCCCTGGGTGGGGGATAGGATGTTCCCAGCCCCACAGGTAGAGGGGGAGGATGGTTACCCCTGGCGCGGAGCTCTCCATGTCTGCACTGAGAGCCACCAAGGTGCAGCTGTACTGGGTACACACAGCACACAGGGAACACAGCTCCGTGTGTCTTGGGATGGCTG